GGGGGTACCCAGGGCCCCCCTCCCTGCCCCCCTGTGCCACCCACCGCGTGTCTCCTCCCCGCAGGTCCCACTGGAGGACCACGTCATCTACTCGGGCAACCTTTTCCAGTACATCGAGGAGAACAAGAAGTGGAGGAACCGCTTCTGTGTGGTCCCGCACAACTACGGCTTGGTCCTCTATGAGAACAAACTGGTGAGGGGCATCACCCTTTTTCGCCCATCTCTGGTGGGCACAGCTTCAAGGGGGGACACCCCATCGCTGCGGTGGCGTGGCCGTGCTGCCCGTCATCCATGACCATCTTTTTCTGCTCAGGCCTATGAGCGGGACCTGCCGCCCCGCGTAATGGTCAACAGCGCCGGCTACAAGATCCTCACCTCCGTGGACCAGTACCTGGAGCTGGTGAACAGCAGCCTGCCTGGTGAGTGGTCTTGGTGGCTGCGGGGCGAGGAGGGATGCTCGGGGTCCCCTGCGCCCCCGTGCTGCTGGGCATCCCTTGGGGACCTTTGGGAAAGGGTGTTTTTGGGGTGTGGGCATCCCTAGGGACCTTTGGGAAGGGGTGGTTTCGGGGTGTGGGGCTGTAGGGAAGGAGAACAGCCCCGTTCCCCCTGTGGGGTGTAGGGCGCGGTGTGAGGTGTCTGCTGCTCAGGACCCGCTGCAGCTGCCGGGGAAGGAAGGAAAATGTGTCTGCGGCTCCGTGAGAGCTGCCCCGAGCTGCTCCTGCCTCCCTTTCCCAGGGAGCCCTGGGCGAAGGCAGCAGCACCTGCTCCTCCACCCAGACTCCCAGGAGGACCGGCCACCACCCCGCTCACCGTCCTCCTGCCCTGGGTCCCTAAAGGCCAGGGCAGCCCCCAGGGAGCGGGGCAGGAGCTGCAGAAACAGCTCGCCTAGGGCAGCGAGCCCCTTTGCTGGTTCGGGGCACGGGCACAACGGCAGCGGGGTCAGGCCGGCAGCTCTGGGGAGGAGTTTATTTTAAATTTTTTTTTTCAGTTTTCACTTCTGATTTCCATTTTGGAAGAGCGAGGCTCGTTGCGCTTTTTTTTGCCCCATGTTTTTGGTAGAACTCACAGCAAAGGCACTGGGAAGGAGCCGAGGGGTCTTGTGTGCCCCTGCTGCACCCCTAGCCCCAATTGCTGGGGGAGATGGACACACCCGACCCTGCAGCATCCCCATCCCTGTCCTGCCCAATCACCTCCTCAAAGCATACTCCCCCCCCTGCAGT